AAAAGGATAATGGGGACCATGATTAATGAAGAAAAAACAAATTGAAGTGTCTCTCTCAGGTCTGCCTCTAATGGGACAATTATCCTTTTTAATTATATTATCAAAAAGTCTTTAAAAGCCACTCATTTCCTTTCTCTCCCAAATCACCTTTACAAATGAAATATTAAAATTTATTTCTAATGGCTTTATTTAGGTGTTAATTGCTAAATGATGATTTAAAATGTTAATTGATTGGTGAAGTGGGAAACAACTCACATGCCATATGTTTATGGCTCACAATTTAGAGGAGGTACAATATATTATGTTTTGATATGATTTTTTTAGTAATTTTATCCGTACGAACGTTTACTTTTTATATCCAGATTATAAAGTAATCACGAGAGATATAATCAGTTAATAGAGAACACTATTCCACGTCTTCGATGCAACTTGGTTATAATCCTTTTTAAGTCTTAAACGGATTTTATAATCTTAGATTTATGGCGTTACAAATAACCCTGTAGGAAAAGATTTATACTGATTACACTATCAAAATATTAATATATAATATTCGAGAATTAAGAATATATCATAAGGATATTATTGCTATAAATATATTCTATTAGAATATTAATAAACAAGTAAGAATATATGTAAACTTTCCTCTCTTTTAAATAGAATTTATGAGAAAGAATAAGTTTGATCTCATTCCAAAAAAGATTGCTAACATTCAAACTCCAATCCCAACATTAAAAATGTGAAAATTTTAGTTGGAAACAAAGAATTTTATTACATAATTGTCTATATTCTTTGTTGCTTAAGAAGTTCAAAGTAATTGTGAAAAAGAATCCCCACTATGAGGCAGATGCACCCAACATTAGCATATCCTAAACTCAATACTTTCTATGCTTTTTAGTTGCCCAAAACCAATCATTATCAACAACAATAAGTTATTGCTTCGAAATATACCGATTCGATCCAAGCTCTTGGAATTGAAATAAGCTTGACATGAATCACAAAATCTTGATGATCTTCTCTATCTAATGAATGGAGAGTCTGCTTTAAAATCGTCCGCCTTAAGCCCACCCTCAAGTATATGCTTCAACAGGAATCACACAAGAATAGATTACATAGTCTAGAGGGATTGACGACTTACCCGTTAGTTTATTTTCAAAATAAACAATATATTTATTTTTATCTTTCATCGATGAAAAAATATTTATTTTAGAAGTAAACATTTTTGTCTTGGCCGGCGTTCACTATATCATTCAATGATTCGATATAATTTTTTGAGACAATTATTGAGAGACTTCTTGATATTTCAAACAATTAAAAAAATACTCACCCCTTTTTTAAAAAATTACTGAAACCTCCCTTAAAATTTGTTTTCACAATAGAATCCCCATATTGGTCTAAGAAAAATCTGTATTTCTTAGTTTACAATTTTGTATTTATATTATAAATAATATTATTTCTCCTTTTTATTTTTTCCCTCATTTTTAAGACTTTTTATTTCAATGTGAGTGTTACTTTTTTAAATAGATATTGTAGGTGTCTATGTAATAGTCAATAATGTGAAGGAGATTTTTGTAATTTTGCCTTACCTATATTTGTAAATGTATTAGTCATACGACAAACAAAATGGTAATAAGTTATAGTCAAAAAAAAAAAAAATGGTAATAACTAAATAAATAAATAAGTCAATTGCATTTTGACACGTGCCCAACATATTTTGCACTCAAGTGGATAATGAAAAGGACCCAGGGCTTAAATCCTTGCTACATTCCAAGCCATTATGCAGAGACTTAGGTCCACACATTGTGCCTCACTAGCATTTTTTGTTTGTAAAAATATAAACGTGCTTGAATAATTCAATGAACCTAATTTTAATTTCATTTTTTCGTTTCACCTCATCGAATATTTCATTAGGTATTTACTCTGTGTAACCTATGTTAATTGTACGATAACACTATCAAATCTAACGTGAAATGTAATTTAGCTCTTTTTCTAGCGACTGACCGTATATAGATAAGTAATTTTAAATATTTGTTCGATTTGAAGTTCTGTAGTGGTTGATGACATTGATTTGAATGCGTTTTTTTCAACATCCGTTGGATTTCGAGCTTGTATTGATGTAATCGTCCAACAAATATTCACGGAGTAGATTATACTAAAAAAAGTGATAGGTTCTTTTGGTAGTGCATAAAGACATGTTTCAAGTAGATCTAGGTCTTTCAATCTCACAAAAATAATGTATCTTTCAATCTCACAAAAATAATGCAAACTTCTATGTTGGTCTAGGTCTATTTCATTGAATTGATCGCATAATTATTTTTGGCTTTTAGTGAATTTCAAGTTGATCGTCCAAGAAATTTCAACATGGGCGACTAAATTATATTATAAAAATTGATAATAGTTCTTGATACACTCTATTGATAGGATACACTAAAGTGCTTGTCTATTTTGAATTGATTTTAATAAATATAGTAATAAATATATTGTAGATATAACGAAATAATAATGTAATAAATATATAACAAGAGGAAAGCAATTTAATCCTAATTGTCTAATGTGGAGCAATTAGCATGAAAAAGGTCGTTTTTTTTTTTTTAAATGAAAGTGAAGAATTCCATCAAATTTCAATTTTCTTTTATTACCCAATTTTCGTGGTAAGAATTGCAAACAAATTGTATTCTTAAACTTTAATTCAATTTTAGCCTCTGTTTGGGGCATATTTTCAGTCCAAAAGAATGAAAAAATGGACTGTTAGTGTACCTTTTTGAGCCCTTTTTTTGACATCTCCCTCACAAGATGGGACCCACTAGCAGTATAAACGGTCATATTTTTTTCTATTTAGGAGGTGAAGAATGAGCTTCAACCAGGGGCTTATTATTCTGAAGTTATTATAAAGTCAGTTCAAACATAACTTTCAATCTCACATACTAATGTGAGATCTCTAGTGATGAACGCATACTTCTTCGACTTCTAGTGACTTTCAATTTAAAATTAATGCAGCTGTCTAATGAATTTCGTCGTCTAACATTACATCCACGGACTAGATGATACTAAAAATGATAATTTCTCTTCATAGGTCATAAAAATAAATTTCTAGTAGGGCAGTGAGATTCACAACCAAAGTATTAAAACAAGAAACAAACACCATAACTTATTTTATTGAAAGATAATATATAATTATCATAATAAATGATAGCAAATTAATCTCTTTATAATCAAATCCAAAAAGCGGCAATCATACGAAGACACCACTCGCGGCATAATCGCTATCCCCACTCCATCCAACCCCTCACCAACTAGAGAGATAAACAATTAAAGAGAGAGAAGACAAAATCAGAAAGTATATAAATGATTATAAGTTTTGCAGTGTACCAAAAACTGCGCACACAGAAAATTGCTAGAACATACACAACACAGATGGGGTCTGCATTTTTTGCAATATTTTATTTCCCTTGAATCCCACTTCCATGTGAGTTTTTTGTTGAACTTCTGTGGTGATTTTTCAGTACAAATGGAGAAATCCTTATAAAAAGGTCAAAATCTATTTTCATTCAAATGTTTCGTAAGATTTGTTGAATCACGCTACAATAACACAATATTTGACATAATTTTAGACATAATATCACTTCTCATCTTACTATTGGATTGTTTAAAACAAAATTAACTTTTACATCTAATCATATCTTTCCAAGTGTCAAAGCATCTGTCAACATTTTCTATCAAAGTGGCATGACCCAAATTTGTTATATTTATTTATTTATTATTTAAGATATATAAATTATAAGTACTAAAAACACTATTAAGGGTGTGTTTGAGCCAAGTTATTTTGGAATAGTGGATTGATAAAAAATGTGTGGTTGAAAAAGAAAGAAAAGTTATTGATGTGATGAAAAATATTATTTTATTGAAAAATGTGTGGCTGAAAATGAGTAGAATAATAAGAATGAAAATTTTAATGTGGTTCAAACATATCTCAACCATGTTTGAAAGTGCATTTTCAAACTTATAAGTTAGTTAAACATTTTTCCTACTCGCGTGTATGTAGAACGAGTAATGTTATTCATATTAGTGATTGTAGTAGTTATCGTATGTGACAACTTCTTATTTGATACATGAGCATATTATTTAAGACAACAAAATGACAAAAACTAATGTTTCAAATAACAAGCTGTTACATAAGATAACTATTATAATAGCTGACTATGAAGAGTTATTAACGTAGTACCTACAATTTTTACCTACTCATAAACACACCTCTTAGGATTCGCTGTTCATGCACTCTTGAAATCAACACCAAATAAACACACACACCCAACTTCTACTTACATATGTTACATGGCTTGCCGGATGCCATAGAAACATTCATAAGTGATCATTCCGTATTTGTAGCATAATCATCAGTAATTGTTGCTCGTAAGTGATCGAGTAAGGTTATTATACAGTTTTTTAGTAGATTTTGATAAAAAATAATAAAATATGTGGTTGAAAAATAGTGAATCTCATGCATTATGCGATTAAAATTAATTGTTGATTTTGACTTGAAATTTTAATCCAAAGCAAACAAGGGCTATATATGTTACAGAAGCATTCATAGCATATACTTCAAGGACCATACTATGTGTACACAATGGTGTACACACGGCCTTATAATCGCCTCACATGGAGGGGGCCCCATGTACAATAAAATATTTGTGGAACCCCTCCATGCGAGAGGATGTAAGATCATATGTGCACCACAACGCCGTGTCTACACCACAAGGTGTACGCATAGCATTACTCATCAACTTGGGATACTTCAAGTTAGATGTAATTTATGTATTCATAATTCATGCTTTCTTTCCCTCTATTCTCTATAAATACCCAAGCCTTCCTCCTACTTGCACTTCTCTCCAAAACGAAAATCTCTCTCTCTCTCTACACTGTTCAGTTGGGGTTTTGAGCTATAAATACATACACATATACATATATAACTTTATATACAGTGCTGTATATCGAGAGAGAAAGATATGGATGCTTACTCGCTTCACCTAGCGATGGCGGCGCTGTTTGGAGCGTCGTTCGTGGCGGTGTCGGCGTACTATATGCACCGGAAAACTCTGGACCAGTTGCTGGAGTTTGCCAAGGCGGTAGAGAGGGACAGGGAGGATGCGGTGGACGGCGGTGACTCGCCGCAGCATTTGAAGAAGTATCCATCGCGGCGGAGCCATGGACGGAGAAAAGGAAATAGTGGATACTATGGCCGGACGTCAGCCTCTTTGCCGGATGTGAGAACGATTTCCGGTGTAGGCGAGGTTGAGGAGAAGAGGAATGGTCCGGTCCATGTGGATTCTATTCCGGCCGGGTTGCCGAGGCTGCACACGCTCGCCGAAGGTATGCAATTGTCGGACTTCGACTTCTGGCCGGAATAATAAAATCAATTATTTATATTTGGGAAATTTATAACATAGTTGAAGCACAATTTGATTTAAGCATAAATAAAGGCATTATAAAATTTTATTAGTCTTAAATAAAATACATTGCTTTTTTGGACTAATTGGATCTGTGAGTTCCATATTCGCCATTGGTATCAAAGCACAGGAATCAATTTGTGGAGTGGTGGTAAAAGAGTGCAAGTTGTGAGCTATTTTAAATTGTACTGAGTAAACGTTTGGAGTACACATGTTACAGTTAAATGTTGTGTATGAAAAACAAGTTACTTCTGGCTATTTTGAATTCTCAATATAATAATTGGTTTTTTTGCCGAATTTGTGAGGCATGTGCCTCTCCACAATCTCTCATTCGCCAATTTTCCTGAAGCCATTTTTGATCATAATCACTACTGGCATTTCACCGTGACCAAACCTTGCTTCACAAGGAGTTGCACAAAATGGTGGAAAGCTGTTATTTGGCCATTCAGTCCTTTCTGAAACGATTGCTACAAGATTATTATTTGCTCCATTGTTTCATGAGGATTAATTACCATTAACTTATTCTATGTTTGAGGGGAGACTGCTGAAAGTTTTACTGTGTTTCTTTCACATCCATGCAAAAAAAAAGGGAAAGGAATAATTTTGGCCTTCTAATGGGAAATGCCATATTGATAACTAATTTATGTGATGCACAATAAATTTAAATCACCTGGGTTGACAGCTAGACATAAAAGTGAATCCAGTTTGCTGTGCCTGGCAATTGTATTGTAGCTTGTAGGTATTGACTGTTGCATTCCATTCCACTGAATACATATTTGGATCCAAGAAAGTGTTTCTCCAACTCTTTCTCAAGAATGACTGCAGTTATTTATAGCGTAAAGTAGAAGTTGACAGTTAAAAGAAAAAGCTTCCATTTTCCTAAGTCGGTGTGCATTAACTCAGAGGCTAATAAGCTTATTTATTGTAGTATATGACAATTGTATCATAAATGGGCAGGTTTTTCAAAACAATAATCTTCTATATTTAATTAAAATAACACTATTCTCTTGCTCAATAAAGTAGGTCTTTGATTTAGGAACCATAATTAGCCTATATGTATGTATAACTACTTTCTCTTTGAAGCACTTAATCATTTTCCTAAAGCCAGACAAGTTTTGCCAAATAAAACTAGTCCATTTCCTTTGGACCTCCCACATTTCAGAGAAACGGAAACAAATTTCTTCACTAAAACCTGCTAAAACTCCTTATATGACCTTTACGTGTCCTCATATGAGGTTGTTGATGACAGTATTCACTTTTATGGACCCCTGTGTTCCTGGCACAAACTTCTGCTTTGCATGCATCGTGTATTTTTGTGCTGGAAGCCTGGAACCACACTGTATATTTCGCTTAGTGGATCAGCATACCATAAAAAAAGAGAGGAAACCGAGAAGGGGAATTTGTGTTCCAAAAATCTTTTGCACTGTTAGCTCTCCGTGCTCACTGAAGTACCCCGCTGCAAGGTTTATTTAGCGTTCTTTAGAGTGCACCTTGATCTTTTCTGAAGGAAATGCTTGTTCTTATAGACCTTTGCATGTATACGGTGTATTACTAGGTAGCTTTTGGTTAACAGCACATTGCTGGTGCCAGAAGATCAGACTGCAGAGATTCTATTAATTGTTTTATTATCCTTTCTCCATTTTGAGTCTCCCTTCAAAATCAACCCGAGTTGAGCAGGGAGCGAGTCGAGTAAAGAAAAGGCAAGATCTCGTGGCGGGGGTTTAATTTTGTTCAGTTGCAGTAACTTTCTTTTCCATTTCAGGAAAATCTGGTAGCATGAATTCACCCATGAGAGCTGGACATCTTGTTCGACCCACTTCACCTAGATCTCCAGTTGCTAGTGCGTTTGAAAGTGTAGAAGAATCAGATGACGAAGATAACCTGACTGACGGTTCTAAGCTGGATGCTACGTATCTTCATACTAATGGAAATGCGGTGAGTTGTCACTAGACATGCATAAAAAGATATGCATACTTGAACATGTTGGTTACTCTTCACATAACATGCCATTTCTGGTCCATAATTTTTGGGAATATTTCGGCATTCAATAAATCTCACCTCAATGAACCCCTTAATGTGAAAGCACGTTTCAGAATGTACCAGATAACGTAAATAAAAATGGAGAACAAATGCCTGTAGCAGCTGCATCAAGTATGATTCGCTCACACAGTGTAACTGGTGACCTGCATGGTGTTCAACCTGATCCAGTAGCTGCTGATATTCTTAGGAAAGAACCAGAGCATGAGACTTTTGTTCGATTGAGAATTTCCCCTGCAGGTATTGTTCTTTTCCTCCCTTTGACGCACTTCAATTTCCATTTTTAGTATTTAGCAAAATGGTCTGCACTAAAGTTCTGTGGCTGGTTTTTAAACTGCATACTTGGATAAGGCTGATTTATCAATTTAGCCTTAAGTATGCAAAGACATTGAACCTTGAGGGGTTGCTCAATTGGTCAGATCTTGGGTTTGCTCTCCAATGGTCACCAGTTCGAATCCCCTCAGAGCTATTGAGGTGAGTACCCGACCGTAAACTTAGGGCCCTGTGGGATTAGTCGAGGTGCGCGTAAGTTGGATCGGACATCCACGGTTATAAAAAAAAAGTATGCAAAGACATTGATTGAAGTGAAATGTTTCATCAGCTGTTAAATTAACCTTCAATGCAACTCTTCACTTGATGCTGCTTCTCATTTGAATTATAGAGAAAAATGCTGACATGCTGTATAGTCTTTTTGTGGTGCTGTCCATATTTCTTAATATCTTGGCTTTTCATTCTTTCTTTCTTTTTTCCTCTATTGGCTTTCTTATTCTTTTCGTTCTTTTGTCAAACCCATTACATGCAAAAAATTGATCCTATTGTTGGTCAATATTCTCTGACATTTTTACGATTTGTGATATACAATTGTTCTAAAATCTAAATACTCTATCATGTTGGTTAGTTACTCTGCTTATATTTTTGAAATATTGGTATTCTTCTTTTATTTCCTTGGAGAGTGTTATGAATATTATATTTCTACTATAAAAATAAACTTTGCACGTTTCTTTCAGCTTGTATACATTTATGAGTGATGAATTTGGCCCAAAAGTAAAATTGTCTATAATTTTGATTTTTTCTTGTGACTTGCTAGAGACGCCTTCTGCTGATGAGGTGGAAGTCTACCTGAATCTTCAAGATTGCCTTGAATTTCGAAAAAGTTATGTATTCAGGGAAGCTGTTGCTCCATGGGAAAAGGAAATTATATCTGACCCGAGTACACCAAAACCAAACCTATGCCCCTTTGATTATACTCCAGAGGGGAAATCTGATGTAAGTCTGTGAATAAATTTATTACTATATTTTATTTCTTCTATGCTTGCTCGTGTCTATTCTAAATTGTCATTCCATTTTAAACTTGTTGAAGTCCCTTGTTGATTTGAAAATTTATTATGAATTGCATTTCAATTTCCTGCAGCACTATTTCCAGATGGAAGATGGAGTTGTTCATGTCTATGCAAATAAAGATTGTAAGAAGATGCAAAAGCATCCAATTTATTTTCCATAATTAGTTCGCTTCAGAAAATATCTTCTTTTTGTCTTTTTAAAAATTACTCAATTTTACCTGCAGCAAAAGAGAAACTTTTCCTCGTTGCCAATGCCACAACCTTTTTCACTGACCTGCATTATATCCTCAAAGTCATAGCAGCTGGGAATATCCGAACATTGTGTCACCGTAGGCTAGTTCTTCTAGAACAGGTTGATACTTCCTCTTAGTAGCAAAAATAAGCTTTTGATATTAATCTATCATTACATTATTAATGAAGACTGAACATGAATTTGGCATCCAGAAATTCAACCTTCATTTAATGCTTAATGCGGACAAAGAATTCCTGGCTCAAAAGAGTGCACCACATCGTGATTTCTATAATGTCAGGAAAGTCGATACTCATGTTCATCACTCGGCTTGCATGAATCAGAAACATCTCCTAAGGTTTATAAAATCAAAGTTGAGGAAGGAGCCCGATGAGGTAATTCTTTGCTTGATTTATTCCTAAATATGCTTTGGCATTTCATCTTCTATTCCGCTTATTTGGTGAAGTAAATCATGTTCTACTTGAGATGGTACTCATTAAAGATAATTTTTTTTTTTCCAAATTTTAAAAAGACATTTTTAGTCAAATATTAATGCAGGACTTGTATATAACAAAATCTACTTTATTCTAATGAAAATTTCAAGCTTTATCTACTTATTTTCAGGTTGTTATTTTCCGAGATGGGACTTATCTGACCTTGAAAGAGGTCTTTGAGAGCCTTGACTTAACGGGGTAATGATGTTGTTTACATTGATTGTAAAATTGGGACCCAGCAACAAATTGTCATTTTGCACAATTTTATTCTTCTTATCATTTTTGTCATTATCCTCTTCCTCATCATCATGCCTAGTGCTGATTTTTCTTACTTTTGCTAACTTGAATTTGTTTCACATAAAATTGAACAGGGATGACCTGAATGTTGACCTATTAGACGTTCATGCTGACAAGAGCACCTTTCATCGTTTTGACAAATTTAATTTGAAGTATAATCCCTGTGGTCAGAGTAGGCTGAGAGAGATCTTTCTGAAGCAGGATAATCTTATTCAGGGTATGTTCTATTGCCTTTTCTTTTCTACAGGTTAGATTGTGAAAGTTCCAGTCCTCTGAAAGAAGCTTTAACTTGTGGGTCTATATGCCAGGATCCAATTATGCAGTCTTTCTTGCTATCGAAATAAAAAATGTGTAAAATAATAGTATCCAACTGGATGTGAACCTATATTTAAGTAATAACCAACAATTTATACTTCATAGAAATTAGAATTGTTGATAGATTTATTAACTGGGCCTCTGATTCTGGTACCGACCCTGGGTTTCTGTTTTTGAGCTTGGATATCCAATACAACTTATGATGTTTCCAACAGGTCGCTTCCTTGGTGAACTCACTAAGCAAGTTTTTTCTGATCTGGAAGCTAGTAAATATCAAGTGAGTTTCCCCTATCCTGTTAATATCAGTAAATGTACTTGATATTGGTTGATTTAATTTTTATGAAACCAAGTTTCATTTTAGTTCTTTATGTGGGCGAGTTGGGGAACGGGGATAGAAGGGAGTGCTGTTTCCTTGGTTTGGGTATGCTTAGAATGAAGGTATATCTGTAGAGGAAGTTACTTGTTAATGTGAGTGATGCTTTTCCTAAGTTCTTGCTATTTTCCTTGTTGCATGGCTCTGTTTCCTGAACTGCTTGCTTTCATTGATATCTCTTTTCAGTTTGTATCCCTTATAATGTTTGCTGGGTGATGATATCATGCATGCTTTAAGGATATAACCATGAAGGTGGTATTCAGAAATACATTGCTGAAAATGTCAGATAATGCTAGCATGACTAATGAATTGTACAGTAAAATTTGAATCTCTCTCTGTTTCTGAAATGTCTATTTTCATGTTCAATGTATACAGTTGATTTTTTATCCGTTTCAGGGTAAACACTTGTCATATGGTTATCAATACACGTTTAAAAATCTTCAAATTTTTGTTTATAAGATGTTGTGTCGCTCTAATACAGATGGCCGAGTATCGAATATCAATATATGGCAGAAAAATGAGCGAGTGGGACATGCTGGCAAGTTGGATAATAAATAATGACTTGTACAGTGAGAATGTTGTCTGGTTAATTCAGGTGACTACTGGATCTCTCTCGTCCTATGATATAGTAGTTGTAAATCCCATAGATATGAGCAGCTTCAAAAAATCATCTACATATTAGAGTTATGGTGATAATATTTAGCGGCAGGCCTGGAAAAACTTGGAAATTTAATTTAATAAAAAATATGGATTATATGTTTTCTAGATAAGAAGTGATTGGATTTTTTTTTTTTTTTCAATTGAAATAGTCAGCAGTCAGAAATTTTTATGGATGCTTATCTGAACACCTGAGCATTTTGCCCCATTTGGAGTTGCAACGTCATTTGTTATATTGAACATAGACGATTGTGGCTAATCAGAATATGAAGGCTGCCATAGTTTAGGAGTTCAAACTGAAAGTCTGAAATCATCACCATGAAGATCTTTCTAATTCGATAAATCTTTTTCTACTTTTTCTTGTGAATTACGAATTGATATATTGAAACAGAATTATTATTGTGGTTACGAGTTAAAATCTTTTCCTAACTTCAAAATTTTGCTATACTTTCTTTCATTACTGTTCCCCGTTTCATTTCTTGTAGGTTGGTTTCATGTGCAATTTAATTTATTTACAAATCAGAAAATTTAGATGTTTTCATTCTCATTCTGAAACTTCTACCATCTAGCTTCCAAGACTCTACAACGTGTACAAGGAGATGGGAATTGTGACTTCATTCCAGAACATTCTCGACAATATCTTTCTACCTTTGTTCGAGGTCACCGTTGATCCAGATTCACATCCCCAGCTACATGTTATCTTAAAACAGGTTTGTCTGCTCCTATCTCATATAATTATTTTTATGCAATTCATTCTAAGTTATCCATTTTAAAATAATATCTGTGGTTCTCTAAGAAAAGTTCCATTCATAAACAGTTCTACTGAACCTCAACCAAAATGCCACTAATGCTATTACTTGAGCCTGATGGCCAAGTTCTCCATGAGGCCATGCATTTTGTTTCAATTTTTTTTTGTCCTTGCTGTTGGTTCACTTATTATTGGTAATATTTTGGGTGTTCTGAATGTCCGCGAACTTTCCTCATCTGTTTTTCCTTTTCTAAATCTTCTCCCTTGGGAATTTTTTTTTTCACTCTTACTGTTCCATTATCTTTGTTCTAACAGGTTGTTGGGTTGGATCTAGTTGATGATGAAAGTAAGCCTGAAAGACGGCCAACAAAACACATGCCTACTCCAGCACAGTGGACCAATATTTTCAATCCTGCATTTTCTTACTACGTGTACTACTGTTATGCTAATCTCTATACCCTGAACAAGGTGCACATCATAATTTTATTGTTATTTTTCTTTCACTCAATGCTAGCTCAAATGCCATCGTGGAAAATGAACAAAATATTTGTAGTTCATTCATTGTTTAGTTTGCATTTAAAAGCTTTTTTCCTACATTGTTCGCTTGACTATTAATTTTAAACTTCCTGTGTTCTGTTTTAAATTCCTTGGAGTTTAACTTGTGTCTGGGACATCTCAGCTTCGTGAGTCAAAGGGCATGACGACTATTAAGTTCCGGCCACATTCTGGAGAGGTGACCAGTCTAAGCTTCATTCTGTATTATTTTAATTTTCAACTATCCGAGTAGATTGTATATATCACTAACATATTAATGTGATCAGGCTGGTGACATTGACCACCTTGCTGCTACATTTCTCACTGCTCACAATATTGCACATGGGATCAATTTGAGAAAATCTCCCGTACTTCAATATCTGTACTACCTAGCTCAGGTAAGGAGAAGAAAAAAGTAGAAATAAGTAAATACACTTGATCATATGACTGTTTCTAATGGTCTAGAATGACACATTAATCATCAGATTGGTCTGGCTATGTCTCCTTTGAGCAACAACTCTTTATTCTTAGACTACCATCGGAATCCATTTCCACTGTTTTTCCTGAGAGGTCTCAATGTTTCCCTCTCGACTGATGATCCATTACAAATCCACTTGACTAAAGAGCCCCTGGTGGAAGAGTACAGTATTGCTGCTTCTGTGAGTACTCCCATTCTAGCGCTCTGCACATTGTATGGTTTTGATTGATAAAATTCTAACAGGTCCCTTGTCGTTTTTTTCTTACAGGTATGGAAGTTGAGTTCGTGTGATTTATGTGAGATAGCCCGTAATTCAGTGTATCAGTCTGGTTTTTCACATGCTTTGAAGGTATATGGCATTTCTGGAAATTTCCCATATTTTGGTGACCTCAATTTTTAGTTCCTTAGTTTTTAGCTTAAGACTTGAATTTCTTATCTCAGGCGCACTGGATTGGCAAGGAGTACTTCAACAGAGGCCCGGATGGAAATGACATTCGCAAGACAAATGTCCCTCATATTCGGCTGGAATTTCGTGATATGGTACGTACTTGAATTGTGTATTGCATCCGCTTCCTTTCCTTCCTCGAGAAAACTTAACCCTAAATTTTAACCTGCTTCACTACAGATTTGGAGAGAGGAAATGAAACTTGTTTATCTTGGCAAGGTGAATTTTCCTGAATATGTTTGCCCATAATCCCGAGGTAATTGCATATTTTCATCTTAAGATTGTTTCTAAGTAATTGTTATTTTGTGTATTCGTCTAGAAATACTTCAAAATTGTAACTGTTTTACTTCCCGGAGTTGCAGGAACTGGCAATCTGCATTGTACTTGCTTGTCCTTCGTTATGAAGGCGATTAAGTTGAGCGATAGTTTGGCTTAGCGTAAGCTGGAGCTATATAGCCAATCACGGGGATGTAGAACATATGGTTCTGAGATCCCGAGCTATTAGCTTGAGATCGACTACAGCAAAAGCTTACCACCATCATTGGTGTGTATATGTGAATGTAACTCAACAATAATATATCGAATGTAAGTTATAAGGATATAGTAATGCTTGAATATATAGTTTGTTAAATTTTGTTTCATGAAGTGGTTCTGTAATGTTATACGGACCGTTCATAAATAAACGTTAATTCAACAAAATATCGGTCAGACATTGTACGAGGCATGGACTTCCTCTGCAGGATGTGGCAACCTTTTTCTGTTATATCTATATGTTGGTGTAAAATTATTGGTAATTTTTTTTGGAGGAATAGTAATGAATTTTACGAAATGTGTAAATAATAATTGGGTAATAGATGTGAATTAAAAGTTGAATCGAGTACTAGGAAAAAGTGTACTTAAGCTTACACGTGCAATTGGACATAGGATTATGTTATTTGTAACACCATGGTTGACATTACTAATGTTATCAAATATTTGGATGAAAAAAATTGTTTTCTTTTAAACTGTTCAATGGTGTAATGTTATGTGATAAAGTGTAAACAATGAAGTAAGTGATTGTTGTGCATAATACCTTGGAATACCATGAAGTGCAAACTGTAGAAAATAACCATTTTGATATATGGCCGGGTTTTTCTGTGGATGGCCATTTTCACCAAAACTAAACTAAAATGCCCATGAAAAATGAATGTAAATTCCCTTCTAAGCCTTAACATTGCTATTTTCAGTTTAGGAAAATTTACACATTTCATCTTTAATTTTTACACAGTTATTAGTCAACTCTTAAATCTTTTCTTTTCTTTTTTTTTTTAGCACAAGGCATTCCCAATATTTCACATAATTGCAAATCATGTCATTTCGTTCATTTTTTTCGTTAAATTATCGTAAAGATGAATTCACCCTTTTTAAATAAATAAAAATAAAAGAAATCGATAAAACAGGAAAAATTGAAGGGAAAATGGAAGAGGAAGTCCAAAGTATTTTCAAAAATTACAAATAGGTCCCACTTTGCAAAATTTTAAAAAGGCAAAAACTCTCATCTTTAATTTTCAGGGGGACTAAACTCGAATATTTCATGTTGTCGAGGATGTCTACACGTTTGAGTGAAGGAGTGTCACAAACGAATTTGTCCATGCTTTTGTTGGAGGACTTGATATTAGCGACAATTAGCTGTTATGACTTTGTTCAAAATTGATTTAGAGTTTAACTCACTTGAGAGCCCAGAAGAGCGAGAATGTGCAAGATGCACAAGTGTTGTGCTGGATATCCCATACAATAAAATTTTAGTGGACTCCAGGAGTTGATAGATCGAGTAGAGAGTCACGGACCGCAGCTTATCATGTCGTAAATGTTTGACGACCATTGGAAATGAAACAAAAACTTGACTTGACATGACTTTAATAGTTGACCACATTGGCAGCAAGTTCGTTGTCGAGCAGGGGACCCTAGCAATTGTTTGGGAAGCCGTGCTACAGAGAACTTGTCAAAGGAGTTAGGAAGCTTTCCATCAAGGCAGATGACAACTAGACCTTTTGGTTAGAAAACATAGGGGTAGAAGGCGACAACGTTAAACAATGTCATGTCATAATTTTTGTGTATTGTAAGGGCATTATCTCAAGGATTGTGTATCTGTTGATGATGAAACTTTGTGGACTCGATATTGAAGATGTTGGCAGTGTTTGATTGGCCTTGAATTCCATTTTCCACAAAACAAGGTGTTTAATGGACAAAGTTTTGCCACCCAAATGTTTTCCCACCTTGAACCCACGGGCAAGATTTTCCATGTAATGGATGAAATGGTTTTCCCACCNTTGCAATTGATGAAAAGGTTTTCCCACTTTTTTGGCGGGAAAACTGAATTCCAGGTGTCTTTTTTTTTTTTTTTTTTTTTTAACAATGGAAACAAATTTCATAATCAATTGTAAAAAAAATTCACTTTAATAGACAATTTTCATATAAAACAAAGCCAAACGAACACTAAACTTTGATGAAAAAAATATTTTTTTAGGAATTTTTTTTAAAACTTTTTTGCAATGAAAACAAATTTTATAACCAATTGTGGAAAAAAAAATTATCACTTTAATGAACAATTTCCATGTAAAAAAAGTCAAACGAACACAAAATTTAATAATTTTCCAGGTGGAAAATTATAACAATCAAACACACTTAATTAACAATTCCCTGAAAAACAATTTTTTGGCAAATACTTTCCCTAAAATTCATTTTCTTTCCAACCATTTCCACCCTTGCAATCAAACGGACCCTTAATTTCGCTACGAATCAAACAAAGCGTCATTTGAAGAATGATAACATCAGTTAAAAAAATTATGATTCCTCAACCATAATACATCTAATAGTGTTATTTGGTATTTTTTTGCTATGCCTATTATAAGGGAATGGAATTGGCGAGCAGTCAATCAGCCTCCGTGTTGTCACTACGAAAGGGCACCTGCGGGCTATCCTTGTACATTAAATGTGCTATCTTAGGTCCCGCAGGGGAAACTAAGAGCCTACTTTAGGCACCACTAGGGAGGGCTAAATTACTCTTTATGAGGTCAGGAACCTACCATACAGCGTTAGGCCTTTTGTTTGGGCACCCGAAGAGGGCCTGAGATTACCAATAAAGTATTATGCTCCGCAGGCTACGATAAGGATATGACAACACCTCTAAGCCGAATGAGCTATCGAGACAGGACTTTAAAGGCCTTGTATTCTAATTCGTGTGCATTGACTATGGGTTTTGGCCTTTTCGTGGGTCCATTGACTAGAAATGCGATAGTGAGGTGATGCTCCATGGTTGGGCTAATATGGCAAGATTGGCTAGAAATGCGATAGTGAGGTGATGCTCCATGGTTGGGCTAATATGGCAAGATGCCAATCTTGCCAGAACGAATATGCTATGAAAGCACTTCTAATTAGCCATGGACTAACAAATAACCTCACTTGGGTTAAGCACTGACGAAGGGTTTGACAACAAGCATTAAGTTAAAATGGCCATAGAAAGTAACGAACAGAAGGATTGTAGTGTGGAGCATACAAATGACCTCAATGCTTTAGATGGAGTTAGGAGAGCTCCTTTCCAGCAAATATGCTTCAAGAGGACCGTATGGTGTGCATGAGCATATAGAAAATCTAGAAGATGCAATGCAAATAAACTAAAGCTAAAGCTTAGTAGTTAAGGGTAACAAAATCAACCCCTACCAATCAGTTATGATAGCTATTGAGCTCACAGGCAAGAGCAACCCCTACCATCACTGCTTATTCAAGCTAAAGCTTAACAGAAGTAATTTATAGTTAAAGAGTATGGCATCAGCGCAACTTATGTCACTTGTAAATTTTACAAATGCAGATCCATATTTGCTACATTACTTTCAATCCTAGTTCTCATCATGCTCCTCTTTTGCTATAACCTTCTATGGATGTGCATTCTTTTGCTATAACCTTCTATGGATGTGCATCAATGAATCTTAATAACATTATGATATATAAGAAAATCTGAAAATTTTGATCAGTACAATTTCAGGGACGAACTCTTTCATGTCCAGCCAATCAAATCTGACTACTATAGGCTTCGCTGCATTCAAGATTTCACAACCCTTCTCTTCTTGGAATGTACTTTGTGTTTCTCATCCCTCTTTCTCTTTTTCATTTGCTTCTGGAGTGACTTGTTAACTACCGAAGGTTGCTCTTTCAATGCAAAACTCTTTGCAACATGCCCCAGGTGAAGTTTCTTCACCATGAAAATTTGCTTCAGCTCACCACGATGAGCAGTATACGCGCGCACCCAAGAGCAAAATGAATCCTTGGCCAAATTTCTCAATGTTGACTATAGTCAACAGACATGAAACAAACCATTAATAGTTAGATCAAATAATTTCGGATGAAGGTATGGAAACCCATATTGTATTTACATGAGTGAATTTATTTAATGGACCAAGTCTAGGTCAGCCAGTGTACAGGTTCAGCAGGCTTAGAGATGTGTCGGAGACATACCTCTGTTGAAATAAGGGATTCTAATGCTTTCTGCAAAGAAAGCACCCATGGATGCATCTCTACTGACAATAACTTTTTGATTGGGCGCTTGAGACCATGCGACAGAAAACTATCCAGCAGTTTTAGAAGAGGATACTCTGTCAGCATTACCCCGTGGTTTTCCAGGTCCTTCAAGTAATCAATTTCAACTGGTTGTAGGAATATGAGAGAATCTCCCTTTTCACCCAACCGGGCAGTTCTTCCAACCCTGCATGAGGTGCAAGCATAGAGTCAAAGACAGCAACTTTCCAGTAAAATAGACAGAAGCTTTAAGCAGCGAAACTCACTACAATGAACTTACAACAAAATGAGGGAAAGGCATACCTGTGTACAAACTCAGTTGCCTCTCCCGGAGAATCATATTGTATAATGCATCTGACTTTGGGAAAATCCAAGCCTCTAGCAGAAACATCTGTGGATAACAGAAGCGCTGATTTTTCCGTTTTGAATGTTTGGAATGTAGTTTTACGATCCTCGTGATTCATATTCCCATGTAATCGCAAAGTTTTGCATCCCAAAAACATTTTTCGGACTTCTGCTTCTGATTGCGATATAGGTGGCCGCTGAAATTTACTTATCAATGAATAATGGAAATCTACTGCATCACATGTTGAAAAGAAAACAACAATCTGCAAAAGAAGAAGAAAAAAGAGATGGCTTATCAAGTATGCTAGTATATAAAGGACATGGGAGGCATCAGGCAAAGAGAAGGATTTTACTTCCTAAAAGGAGGTCAACAAAGTAATCCTCAGAAAGGCATGTAACTTTTGTATTTAACAATTATCCACAACAGAGTGAGAGTGGATTAAACATGCTTTGTGGTAATGATTTAAAAAAATAAATAAAATGAATTACGTGGGATGGAGTAGAAAACTAATCATGATTTATCCATGCACCAAATAGCCAATCTTCGATAAGTATGGATAAAGCTTTCTTGATAACTTTAAAATCTACTACTCACAAAAGCAAGTAAAGGTGTTTGCAGATTCAAGAATTACACAAGGTTCACAATAAACAGAAATGCACATTAATACATACAAACTACAACATAGTTATCACTTCGTAAATATAAAGGTAGCCCCACCTTCTGGGAAGCTTCACTCTCAAATAGATGCTTTAATATGGAAAGGAGCACAACAAGCCGAGATCCACATGGTACTACAGAGAAAGGTTCATTAGTATATGAAAATAACAAGCAATTGATTAGGTTGTTGATCAATAGTCCAAATTTCCTCTACCGTATACCTTTAATGTATCTCTGAACTAACTGAGATGGAAGCTTATATTCCTCAGCTGAAGCACTCAATCCTTTTGCAGATTCCCCTAATCTACCAAACACATCAGATCCAACAGACCCCGCATGATCGTGATTTACATTTTGTTGCATCTTCTTCTCATCTAGACCAATCATTACTGGGTTTTCTAAACTTATTTTAGCAAGATGATTTACTTTTTCATTCAAAGTAGCTGACAACAGCAAATTCTGTTTCTGAACTTCTGGAATTTTTAAAGTTGCATTCTCCTTGCTAACAGATTTGTCTTGTTTTGTGCCCAAAATATTAAGTATCTGTTCTATGTCTTTGCCAAACCCTAGTTCTAGAATCCTGCAAAGTAAACAAACATAATTGAGGAAGAAGAGAGTTCAAATAGTGGTTACTGAAGTGGGATCATAACAAGAGTAATACACAATACCTATCTGCTTCATCAAATATAATCCAGCGGAGATTTGTGTGCAGAAATGATGAAGTATTCTTCAAGTGATCCAAAAGACGTCCAGGAGTTGCAACAAGGATTGATACACCTGGAGAAGGCCACTGTCAGGTTTGTTGAAAAAAATTTATGTTTGCATTGGTAGAAGATCGAGGAGAAAATATTTTACGACAGCTATTAAGAAGACCTTAGACAACTAAGCAGCATGAGTCAGCATAGATATAGTAAAAAACTTAAAACAAGCAATCCCAACAAAATAATCATGCAACTTTAGAAATTTACCAGAAGGCAGTAAAAGCAAAAATCTTTACTCGTCTAACTAGGTAAAATCAGATTACATCATTCAGTATGCAGCATTACAAGCTTAATGTGCACTAGTTATCTATTTTATCTTTAACTTATGAAGCTATTAGCAAAATTAGTTAGTTTTTCAGAAGTAGATAACCAATTCGAAGATGCTAAGGTAAAAGAAAAGATCCAATGAACTTCGTGCTCATATCTTAAGCTATTTCTCACGCTGTACAAGTAATAAAGTTAAAACATAAAATGGTATCAGTTCACATATTAGATTTCAAAGGGCAAAAGAGCAACCTATCTCGAAGAACAATAGATATTTCGTGCTTTGAAACTAAATTCATCCCAATATCATGAAATAAATACCATTAGCATGTATATCCCCTTAGCAAAGAGGTCAGGAGTACAACACATAAATTATTCAACAAGTCATACCTTTCCTTAACCTGGCTTTCTCCTTCGACCTGTTTTCCCCACCCATGATGTAGCCAGGAACAATCCAATGAAAACGGTGTAACAACTTCACCAAAATTTCATACACCTGCATGCAGAGTTCACGCGTTGGTACAAGGACCAACGCTATTAAGAATAACATTGTCATTTACAATTTGAATGGGGGGATTATATGTCATTTTCAAGCCCTAGAAACAAAATCTTCCAAAGGTATTGTTAATCTAAGGCCACAAACCATCTAATGCTTCAAAATTAAATGTGATATTATGCATATAGCAAAAGACTCCATTCTATCCTGAACTTGTTGACAGTTTTTTGGTGTGAAAACAAATTCATTTAGCTGACTCCGAATTTAATGGGAATAAGCTGTGTTGTGTGTAAGAAACAAGAAACTTTATTGAAGAAAATCATAATTATATTCTCTACTCATCTAGCCCTATCTACGACTAAGTACTGATTATCACTTGTATCTAAGCTTGAAAGGAATTATTTCAAATTGCAGCTGGAATCAACATTGTAGATGCAAATAATACAAACCAACCCACCCTCAATTCCATACGCAGGATAAAGTCCCAAATATAAAAGATTCTGAAAATAGCTGAAAAAAAGAACTCCCCATATTTCAATGTTTTTGGCCTGGAATTTCATGCATATGCTAGGATTACAAGAACAATCCGACATATTTTACAAATATAAACATACCAAAAGTACCATCAGACCGCTGAATTCGTGGATTAATATTCTGCAAATGATGAATAATTGGGGCTAAATACGCCACCGTTTTCCCGGTTCCAGTCGCAGCATTAACAAGCCTAATGTCCCATCGAGTAGGAAACATAAATAACCCACAAAAAGCAAAATAAAAACACAACTAATAACAATAAGAAAAGAATTACGGATAATTACAAGTGCCGGCCTGAGAGCACAACAGGAATTGCTTCTGCCTGAACCTGTGTTGGACCCTCGAAACCCAACCTCTCTATTCAAAATTAAGAACACAAAATTTCAATATAATATATATTTTTTATTGTAATTAGCCAAAAAATTAAGAAATATAGAATTAGGAGAGGGAATACCTTTGAGCTGATCGCATAAGGTGGGATGAAGGCCAAGGCTAGAGAAAGAACATGATGCGAAAACTTCGGAATTCTTTTTTTTGTCTGCCTTGCTCTTCACGTTATTCATAGTGTTCTGTTTCAATCCTCAGGTAACAATATTTGCTAGGATCTAATTTGAGAGAGATTTCGCTAATTCCCTGATATAAGATATAGGGTTTAATTTTGAACGACATAAGACAATGATAGTAGATTAAAACATACAAGTGAATATAAGGTTGGGCATGGCCTGGATTTTACTTTAAGCATTTAAATTACAAACTTAATTCCTAATTTTAAAAAAATGTCAGATAAATTGATCAAATTGGTCCCAATATATACAGTCACATTTTTTGTTGATTACGATTTCCTCTATAGGCAAAAATAGACCCTTCTGTTGATTACGTAGAAAACGATGGTTATTTTTTTTAAAGAAGACTATTTTTTATCACTAAATTCAAATAAACGAAAAAAGAATAGAATTAAAGAAAAACTTATTTCTTCCCTAAACCATCACCCTCACCCATCTCAATCCTTCCGCTTACAACAGCCCTCTCTACACCACCGCAGTCAGTTCCCCCAACCCCAACCCCAACCCCAACCCCAACCCCAAAGCCATCCAACATCCTCCTTTGTAAACAAAAAGACAGTATAAAAATAGCGCAGCATGGACTTTGTAACATAAATCATATTCATATCATATTTTAAATGTTTCATTGACATGTAAACTTTTTGATGTTGTTGAATTATTAATTTATTACATTATCTTTGCTCTTTTTTTGCTATCACAACGTAGGTCCAAAGGCATAGCCAGGAATTTACAACATGGGAGCTATAAATATTTTTTTAAGTGAAATTTAAAAGTGAGACTAGTCTCTAGGTCGAAGTATTGCACTCTCCATCTGCCCAACAGAAGCAGAGGGGGTTCAATGTAAATTTATTCATTTAAGAGCTAAAACATGCCTAATGTTGTAAAAATATTTATCTCCCCCATAATAAGGACTAAACCAACCTTAAAAGCAACATAACATTCTCAAAAGAGAGTATGAAATAAATTGGGAACCACCTACTCTCCAACTACTCATAACAATCCGATAAAGTAGATAGGCCAACACTCCCAACTTTCATTACAAAAATCCACAGTACTTAAATTCAACATGCAATTCATTTTTGGTTTATATTACGAAAACCTAATCAAAATGCAATTCAAAAGCTAATATAAACAGAATTATACAATTCATCAATAACCAACAATAATGCACAAATTGCAACAACGGATAAATGCAGGGGTGGAGCCACCTGAGGTCTAGTGAGGGCAACTGCCCCCACTGGAATTTGGTCATGGGTATTTCACCTATTACACTTGAGGGAAGGCCAATTTTTCAGGCAAAGAGAAAACCAAAAATAACTGCATCAAAAATTCAAGAGAAAGGTTTTCGAAAAAATCACTGTTGGTAGAGGAAGATTACCATAAAGAAACTACAATTTGGGAAAATATAAACGATTCAACATGTAAAGCCCGTCTTTACACTAATAAAATCCGACATTACCTTCCAATTTTGTAGATGAAGAAGTTGAGAAGAAATCACAGCAACACGATAAATAGGAGCCACGGGGTTATGAATATGACACCCTTTTTTTATGAATAGAGTAATACGGTATAGAGCACAGATACGGGAGAGGAGGTGAATTAATTGATTTTAGGGTTTGGGCCTTTGGGGGTAGATAGGTAGGTGGGAGTATATATAAATTAATTTATTTTAAATAGATATAAAAATAAAAATAACAAATATTTTTTTAATTATTAATTAAAACCTGATTTTGGAAATATCAAACTTGAGTTGGGATTTATGAAAATGGTAATCTAAAAGTAGGGGTGGGTGTAATTTCCTCTTTCGATGAAGTAGGTGACTTAAAGATTAAAATCAAATTTTTAATAAATTTTAATAAAAATTGATAAAATGTGTAATTGAAAAATTATGAATTCATGAAATATGTGATTAATATTAATTGTTAATTTTGACTTAAATTAAAATCTGAACGTAATATTAAAAATTAGACCAATCGAATAAACTAAGCAATTAATTGAAAAAAAAATTAAACTAGAGTTTATGAATTTAATTAATTTGAAATTTTCAGAATTTTGTTTTGTATAATTTATTTTTTAGATATTGTTCTCAAAATTATGATAGTTTAAACCTTTTATCTCTTTTAAATTTTATCACGGTATAAAGAGTGGGAATCCTTCACACTTGATTTATATTAAGAAAAAAATAATTATTATCTTCCTATGTACATGGTTGGAGGGTCAAATTCGTCGTCACTAAGAGGAAAAGATTCGTATGAGTCATAATTATATGGTGCAATTGTAAAAAGAGAAGTTACATGTATAATATGATAATTTAAATTAATTTTTATATATTTTCTTTAATTTAAATGGTGATAAACTATTATAATCATTAAAATAAACTAAACCACAAACTAACGTATTAATATGATTCATTTTAAAATGAATTAATAGCAAAAAACCCCTCTAAAAATATTTCAATTTGCGATATACCCCATACTTATTGAAAATCGCAGAAAATCTCTATATTTGAAACATTTTGAGTGAAAAACTCATTTATCGTCAAATTTGCCGTTGAAAACATTAAAAATGTCATAATTAAAAAGTAATAATTGAAATTTTAGTATCCAAATTTTTTATTCTTTTACAAATTATACCCAAATTTTTGTTATATATCACCCACAATTCCATACCTTCAAAACTTTATTTTCCACCCTGCCCCACATCATGCTTTTAAATTTCTGGCAAACCGATTCTCAAACTGAGACTGTAATGGTATTTTATGTATAAAAAATATCTCTAGCAAATGCAGTGCCACAATTGTTGACTAAGGTAGCTTCCCACATACGTCTGGTCCCTCTTTTTCTCACTATACATCTTTCTATTTACTTTTGTATTTCACTCTTCTTCAACACAATAACTAGAAATCCGCTGCAACATCTCCACTTCTTCCGCCGCCTCTTCCATCGACGCAAACCACCACCTCGGCAGCTCGCAGCTCTTCAACAGCTTTAAACCATAACAAGACCGGCAATCAAAATCTTTCCTACTTTAAAATGGCCTTTTGGGTTCAATTCTCTCACTTATCGTTTGCTTAATAAGCGTGTGTCAATATTTAGTTATGGCTTCTAAGTTGTATGATTTTGATTTTTCAAATAATATTTACCCAATAGTGAGAACAACAAAGATTGTAATTTTTTGTAACTTTATGATTTGATTAGGGATGAAATGATGAAATAAAAGGGTTGCTCACAATGGTTTGGAGGGGAGAAAAGGAGGAAGAAGACGGGCAACGCATTTTCTATGAGTTGTGGAAAAGTAGGTGCAAAAATGGTGCTTTTGAAGGCGAAGTTCCGTGCGAACGATTTCATTGCACAGAACACTAAAAATCGATCTCCAATTCATACTGAAACTGAAAATGCGAAACAATCGTTATTCTCGTGATAAAAAAGAGAAAAAAAAATGATAATTATTGGAGTAAGAGAGTTTAAAAGTTGGAAACGAGAAGAAGAAATGAAGACTTTGGAGTACCGAAATTAGGAGGATTTTGGAAGGGATAAATAAAATAATAAGTTTTGGAGAAAAAGATGAAATGGAGTGGGGTGGAAAATAAAGTTTTAAATGTTTAGGATTGTGAGTGGTACATTAAAAAAATTTGAGTATAATTTGTAAAAGAATAAAAAATTTGGATATTAAAATTGCAATTATTACTTTTTAATTTTGAAATTTTTGTTGTTTTTAACGACAAATTTGACGGTAGGGATGTTTTTCGCACAAAAGATTTCAAATAGGAGAGTTTTTTGTGATTTTCAATAGATAGGGAGCATACCGCAAATGAAAACATTTTTAGGGGGTTTTATGCTATTAACCCTTTTAAAATTCACACTAACCACATGAAAAAGAAGGAAAATTTTGCAGCAACGGTCCCTAACCTTTCACTTTTTTGCAGACTTTACCTCGACCTTCAGTTTGTACCAGTTGAGGTCTTGAACCTTTGAAAAATTAGCAACTGAGGTCCAAATGGATGGAAACCGTCTATTTGACCGTTAGTTGACAAAAACAAATTGATTTTGACTAAACTTGATAAGGGCAAAATGGTAATCTTATTATTTAAACATAAAATAATTTTAAAAATTAAATTAAAAAAACACACAAAAAAACAGTTGGCTCCGTGACGCTCATTGCCATCCACTGCCACCAAGATTCAAAATGCAAATCCGGCCACCCCAGCTTCATCATCATCTTCTTCTTCTCCAACTGACTGCACATCGACTCCACCCATCTTCATCTTCTTCTATTAATTCATCTCCAGTTTACACTGTTACAATCCATTTCGCCCAAAAATTCCCACTTCAAATTTGTAGCAGAAATTTACAGTTTTCTTTAAGAAACACGAATCGAATCAGTTTTTTTTTTTTGCAGAATCTCAGTTCAAAGGAGACCTTCAATAATTTCAGAATAAACAGCTACCAAGCTTTGGATATTCTTCCCTCAGCATCACCACTGGCCCATTTAAGAATTACAGCAGGCCACCGATTATTGCCCCTTCAATTTTGTTTACCTTCTTGAAAGTGTGTATAAGTAGCTTTGCCCTTAATTCAATCAAAATGCAAGTATATTCATAACCCAAATTATAGAAAAAATTTCAATTTTTCTTCAATTAAAAGAGTCTAATAGATACCTGGAAGATAACTTCTGAAGCAATTAGCTGCAACCATCGGCATGGCGGGAGTCTTCTTCCGCCTCGTCCATGGCGAAAGTGGCGACGGTGGCGGCTCCACCAGTTATGATATTTTTCAAGGCCGCTACCACTATTGAAACTTCCTCTTCACTGGTAAGTCGTGGTCGAATTTATCTTAGTGGTGGTGGTAGTGATGTCAGTGGTGATGGGCGGCGATTTACCGGGTTGATTTGTTGGGATTGATAGGGTTGAGGGTTAAGGTGTGGAAGAAATGAGTATTTTTTTTTTATTTTTTGTGCGTTAACACACAAAAAAACAGTTGGCTCCCTGACGCTCATTGCCA